CCACTGGAACCCCTTTGGCGCGGCCACCCTTTCCTTCTCCATCCCCTTTTGCACCCTGGCTCCCTTGTTTTTTACCACCCCCTTCAGTTTCGACCTTCAATTTACGCGCCTTCGATTTGCCCACTGCTTCGCCACGCAGGGCGTCAACTGCCCCGTGTTTTCGGGAATGGCGAGTCCGACCCCCCAGCTTCCCTGTACCACTCCCCCGTTTGCCTCGCCCGCCCCGTCCCTTCACTGCCACCACATCCTCCTCCTCTTCCTCTTCTGCCCCTTCCTCCTCCTCCTCATCTTGTCAAACTTATATGCTGTTTAGGCTGTAGTGGGGTAGTTCTTACAGGGTACAACACTTTTAGGTTTCGCATATGTACCCACCTGCTTTCTAGTTCAGTCATTCATTCGCTCACATTCTAACATGGTATTATGAGCAGGTTCCCTAGTGGGAACGTTTTTAAGGGCCCACCACGATATTTTTTTTTCCTGCCCTGCCCAAAGCGCGAATCGCGCCCTAGCCCGTCGCGACCCCTAGCCCGTCGCGGCCTCCAGCCCGTCGCGGCCCCTAGCCCGCCACGGCCCCTACTGCCTGTCGCGGCCCCTAGCCCGTCGCGGCCCCTAGCCCGTCGCGGCCCCTAGCCCGTCGCGGCCCCTAGCCCGTCGCGGCCCCTAGCCCGTCGCGGCCCCTAGCCCGTCGCGGCCCCTAGCCCGTCGCGGCCCCTACTGCCTCTCGCGGCCCCTAGCCCGTCGCGGCCCCTAGCCTGTCGCGGCCTCTAGCCCGTCGCGGCCCCTAGCCCGTCGCAGCCCCTAGCCCGTCGCGACCCCTAGCCCGTCGCGGCCCCTAGCCTGTCGCGGCCCCTACTGCCGATGCGGCCCCTACTGCCGTCGCGGCCCTAGCCCGTCGTGGCCCCTGCTGCTGGCACGGCCCCCTGCTGACGCGGCCCCTGCTGACGCGGCCCCCTGCACTCGCGCCCCCCCCCCCCCTGCCGTCGCCACCCCTCACGGCCCGGCCCCTGCTGACGAGGCCCCCTGCTGGCGTGGCCCCTACTGGCGCGGGCCCCTGCAGTCGCGGCCCCCCTGCTGTCGCCACCCCTACTGGCGCGGCCCCTACTGTCACGACCCGGCCCCCTGCTGACGCGGCCCCCCCCCGGCAGTTACGGCCCCCCTGCTGTCGCCACCCTTACTGGCGCGGCCCCTGCTATCCCGGCCCGGCCCTGCACCCGTCCCTGGTAAGCACCCGCGCCGCCCAGCCGAGCCGCGCCGCCCAGTCGAGCTGAGCCACCCAACCGAGCCGCGCCGCCCAGCCGAGCCGCGCTGCCCACTGAGCCGCGCCACTCTGCCGAGCCGCGCCGCCCTACCGAGCCGCACTGCCCTGCACTGCCCTGCTGCCTCTGCTGCTATTGCTGCTACTGCTGCTACTGCTCCTACTGCTGCAATGGCTAGCCCTACTGTTCTCACCTTTGATGCTGAGGGACGTGCAATTGACTTTGACGTGTGGGTTGACGACCTACAGCTCTTTCTTCAGTGTGATTCTAGGGATGGGGTATCCCTTTTCGATCACACGTCCGGTGTTTCTACTGCTCCTGCTGCCACTGCTGACAGTACGGTTTGCTCGCAGTGGACCACTCGTGACGCTGTTGCTCGTCTTGCTGTTCGTAGTCACCTGCCGCCTGCTGAGCGCGCGCATTTTGGCCAGTACAAGACTGCTCAGTCTTTGTACGACGTGTCAAACTTATATGTGCTCTAGTCTATTTAGGCTGTAGTGGGGTAGTTCTTAGAGGGTACAACACTTTTGTGTTTTCTACTTGTACCCATCCCATTCCTAGTTCATTCATTCTTTCGTCAATTCTCTCACATGGTATAGAGCTAGTTTCGAGTTTTTTTTAAAAGGGCCCACCACTGAATTTTTTCCTACCTGCTCGACGCGCGCGTCGCGCCTGCCCTTCGAGGCCCGTAGCGGCCCCTGCGCCTGCCCTTAGAGCCAGCGCCGGCCCCGTAAGGCCCCGTAAGGCCCCGTAAGGCCCCGTTTACGGCCCCGTTTAAGGCCCCGTAAGGCCCCGTAAGGCCCCGTATGGCCTCGTAAGGCCCCGTAAGGCCCCGTAAGGCCCCGTAAGGCCCCGTTTACGGCCCCGTTTAAGGCCCCGTATGGCCCCGTAAGGCCCCGTAAGGCCCCGTAAGGCCCCGTCAGGCCCCGTAAGGCCCCATTTACGGCCCCGTTTAAGGCCCCGTAAGGCCCCGTAAGGCCCTGTAAGGCCCCGTCAGGCCGCGTCAGGTCCCGTTTGCGGCCCCGTCAGGCCCCGTAAGGCCCAGTCAGGCCCCGTTAGAGGCCCCGTACGGCCCCGTCAGGCCCCGTTAGCGGCCCCGTCAGGCCCCGTAAGGCCCCGTCCGGCCCTGCCCCGGCCCTACCCCAACCTGTCGCGGCCCTGCGCCGGCCCTGCTGCGGCCCTGTCGCAGCTCTGCCCCGGCCCTGCTCCGGCACTGTTGCAGCCCTGCCCCGGCCCTCGCCCCGACCCTGCCCCGGCCCTGCTCCTGCACTGCCGCGGCCCGGCCCCGGCCCTGCCCCGGACCTGTCGCGGCCTCGCCCCGGCCCTGTCCCGGCCCTGCTCCGACCCTGCCCCGGCCCTTCCCAGGCCCTGCCCCGGCCCTGCCCCGGCCCTGCCCCCTGCCCCGGCCCTGCCCCGGCCCTGCCCCGGCCCTGCCCCCTGCCCCGGCCCTGCCCCGGCCCTGCCCCGGCCCTGCCCCCTGCCCCGGCCCTGCTCCGACCCTGCCCCGGCCCTGCCCCGGCCCTGCCCCGGCTCTGCCCCGGCCCTGCCCCTGCCCTGCTCCTGCACTGTCGCGGCCCTGCCCAACCCGGCCCCGGATCTTTTGCGGCCCGGCCCCGGCCCTACCCCGGCCCTGCCCCGGCCTCGCCACTGGTAAGAGCGCCGCGCTACCGAGCCGCGGCGCCCTGCCTAGCCTGCCCTGCCGAGTTGCACTGCTGCTGCTGCTAGCCTGCTGCTGCTCCTGTCATGGCTAGTCTCAATGTTCTTACCTTTGATGCTGAGGGTTGAGCTGTTGACTTTGAGGTCTGGCTAGATGATCTGCAGCTTTTCCTATAGTGCGATAGCAAGGATGGCCTCTCACTGTTCGATCTCACGTCTGGCGCCTCTACTGCCCCTGCTGCTGATGCTGACAGTACTGTTCGCTCGCAGTGGCTCACGCGCGTCGCTGCTGCTCGTCTTGCTGTGCGTAATCACCTGTCTACTGAGCGCGCGCACTTTAGTCAGTACAAGAGTGCTAGGGCTCTGTACGACGCTGTAGTTGCACGCTACTCCTCCCCTACCACTGCTGCCCTCAGCTGCCTCATGCTGCCGTACCTTTTTCCTGACCTTGCCGCCTTTGCCACAGTTGCTGACCTAGTTGCTCACCTCCGCACTAGTGACGCTCGCTACCGCGCTGCCCTTCCCACTGAGTTTCTTCCTACGAACTCCCCCCCCATGTACATCACCCTTTACTACCTAGTCACCCGCCTCCCTGACTCTCTCTCCTCAGTCAGGGATCACTTCCTCTCCCTTTGCCCCACCAAGCTGACTGTCGACTTGCTAGAGGAGGGCCTTGCTGCAGCTGAGAAGAGTATCTTAGCTGTCGGTGCTTCTCGCGGCGACCGTCGCACCCCCTTCTTTGAGGGGTGTTCCCCTGTCCCCCTTCTCCCCTCTGTTGCCTCTGCTGCTGCTGTCGACCTCGTTGGCACTGAGGAGGTCGGCGCTGCGTCTGCCCCTAGTGGGCGACGCCGCACTGGCAAGGGCAAGAGAAGCAGGGGTGGTGGAGGGGGCGGTGGAGGAAGCGGTGGAGGAGGTGGAGGAGCTGGAGGTGGTGGTGGGGGTGGTCCCGGGAGTGGGGGCGTCGGTGGCGGCAGTGGCGGCCGTGGAGGCGGTGGCGGAGGAGGTGGAGGCGGCGGCAGCGGTGGTGGAGGTAGCGGAGGAGGTGGTACTGGTCACGGTGCAGCCACGCAGTGTGGAGGCCTTGGTGGCAGCCAGCGTCAGCAGCAGCTGCGCACCCGTGAGACCCCGTCTGTTCAGCAGCTTCGTGAGTGGTACGCTGGGCGTGGGAGGTCTGGGGGTGCAGGTCCCTGCACGTACGTTCTTCGCACAGGCACTCGTAGTGGGGAGGTGTGTGGTCTCCCACACACCACGCAGCGCTGCTTCGGCCGCTTGACTGATGCTTGGCGTACCCAGTTTCATGACGCTGTTGAGCTTCCTCGTTGGCATGATCTGCTTCTGCAGAATGTGCCTATCTTTGATCTAGACTTTGATGCTATCCTTGCTGCCATGTATGCTCTTGCTGATATTACTGAGGGTGACTGTTACCTGCGTGTCCCGCCCGACCCGGGCACTGTGGCTGCTGCTCTAGGTGCTAGTGCGGCTGCTGCTCTAGGTGCTAGTGCGTCTGCTGCTCCGGGTGCTGGTCCGTCTCCTCTCTCAGGTACTGCACCTACTGAGTCCTTTCACACTTTCACACTTGACTCTGGTGCTTCGCGCTCTTTCTTTAGAGACAGCACCACGCTCACGCCGCTCAGTCGGCCTGTTGCGGTCTCCCTTGCTGACCCCTCAGGGGGCCCAGTACTTGCACACTCCTCCACTGTCCTACCGTGTCCTGCGGCCCCGTCGGGCTTGCTGTCGAGACTCCACCTCCCCTCGTTCTCTACGAACTTGGTGAGTGGAGCTGACATCCAGGACGCGTGGGTTGACCAGTTCACCCCTGGAGGTCAGCGTGTGACCCACTGCACTTGCTCTCGGACGGGCCGTCACCTGGCCACGTTCACCCGTCGGCCAGGGTCGAGTCTGTACAAACTGACTAATGCGCCTCCTCCGGTCTCTGCGTCTGGTCAGGTAGCTGCGTCCAGTCAGGTGTTTGCTGCCGCGTCCAGGTCTAGTCCTGCGTCTGCCCCCTGCTCGTGTCGTCCTTTGGCACACGAGACTCTCCTTTGGCACCACCGCCTTGGTCACCCCTCCCTTCCTCGTCTTCGAGGTATGGCCTCCCGTGCCCTTGTCTCGGGTCTACCCAGGTCCCTCCCTCCCCTTCCTCCGGGGCCTGCCCCCACCTGTGTTCCTTGTGTCGAGGGCCGGCAGCGCGCCGCCCCTCACTCCTCCTCGTTTCCTCCGACTGAGGCTCCTCTGCAGACTCTTCACATGGACGTGTGGGGCCCAGCCCGCGTCCGTGGACAGGGTCACGAGCGCTACTTCCTCCTGGTCGTTGACGACTACTCGCGTTACACCACAGTCTTCCCCTTGCGCAGCAAGGGTGAGGTCCCTGAGGTGTTGATCGACTGGATCCACGGTGCTCGCCGCCAGCTCAGTGAGAGTTTCGGCTCAGACCTTCCTGTTCTGCGTCTGCACTCGGACAGAGGCGGGGAGTTTTCCTCCGACCTCCTGAGAGCCTTCTGTCGTTCGGAGGGCATCCGCCAGACGTTCACGCTTCCAACCTCCCCGCAGCAAAATGGGATTGCTGAGCGCCGCATTGGCATGGTCATGGACGTCGCTCGTACGTCCATGATCCATGCGGCTGCTCCCCATTTTCTGTGGCCGTTCGCGGTTCAGTACGCGGCGCATCAGATCAACCTTCAGCCTCGTGTCTCCTTGCCGGAGACCACACCTACTCTGCGGTGGACGGGGAAGGTTGGCGATGCGTCCGCGTTTCGTGTCTGGGGATCTCGAGCTTTTGTCCGCGATACTACCGCGGACAAGCTGTCCTCCCGTGCCGTTCCCTGTGTCTTCCTTGGCTTCCCTCCTGACGCACCCGGGTGGCAGTTCTACCACCCCACCTCGCGTCGTGTTCTGTCCTCTCAGGACGTCACGTTCGACGAGTCGGTGTCGTACTACCTTTCCCTACCGCACTGCCTCTCCCCCCCCCCCACCGCTCTTCCTCGCACCAGGTACTCCCCTGGTAGACCCCCTCCCCCCCCAGGGTCCTGCCCCCTCAGGTGTGTCCCAGGTAGACCCTGCCGAGCCGGTCGAGGTAGCTGTCGACTCAGGTGCTGCTGGGGGTGCTTCCCCTGCGGGTGCGGGGCCTGGGGGTGCTGAGACTGGGGGTGCTGAGTCTGGGGGTGCTGAGCCTGGGGGTGTGGCGCCTGAGGGTACTGCGTCTGGAGGTGCTGAGCCTGCGTGTGCTGAGTCTGGAGGTGCTCTAGGTGTCCCGTCGTGGCGGGAGCCCCTCTCTCCACAGCGGCTTCGTGAGTGGTACTCTCGGCGCTGTCGAGGTGCTGCTGGTGCTGGAGCTGCTGGAGGTGCTGGAGGTGCTACTGGAGCTACTGGAGGTGCTGGCGCTGCTGGAGGTGCTGCTGGTGCTGGAGGTGCTGGAGGTGTTGCTGGCGCTGCTGGAGGTGCTGGAGGTGCTACTGGAGCTACTGGAGGTGCTGGCGCTGCTGGAGGTGGTGCTGGTGCTGGAGCTGCTGGAGGTGCTGCTGGTACTGGAGCTGCTGGACCTCCTGGAGGTGCTGGCGCTGCTGGAGGTGGTGCTGGTGCTGGAGCTGCTGGAGGTGCTGCTGGGACTGGACACCCTGGGGCTGAGGGTACCGGTTCTGTCTCTGCTGTTTCTGGAGGCGCTGCGCGGCCGCGGCCGTACTACGTTCCGCTCCTTCAGCAGGTTCTTGGCTCCCCGCCTTCTCTTGGTCCTCCTCCTCCTTTCCTGAGTCCACCGCCTGTCCAGTCCCAGTCGCAGTTACAGCCGGCCTCTCCCCTGCCTGGTCCTTCTCCTTACTCTGGTCCGACTAGAGGTCTTACTGAGCGTCGTGAGCCTGAGTCTCGTCCTGTGTCGCCTGCGTCTCGTTCTGCGTCGCCTGTCCGCACTGTTCGCGCTGGTCGTGTTTCGCGTCCGCGTCTTCCTCCTGTCCCAGGCACTCACTCTATGACACTGCGTCCTTCTACTGCTTCACAGCGTGTCCCTCTGCCCTCTCCTCTTGCTTCCTCTCTTCCTAACGGTCCGGACCTGGAGTCTGACTCCCTTCGTGCTGCTAGTCCTACTGTCACGCGCTTTCTGGTCACGACGAGGAGTGAGGAGCGGCGCGCTGCCTGCCCTCGACACAAGGAACACAGGTGGGGGCAGGCCCCGGAGGAAGGGGAGGGAGGGACCGGGGTAGACCCGAGACAAGGGCACGGGAGGCCATACCTCGAAGACGAGGCAGGGAGGGGTGACCAAGGCGGTGGTGCCAAAGGAGAGTCTCGTGCGACAGAGGACGACACGAGCAGGGGGCAGACGCAGGACTAGACCTGGACGCGGCAACAAACACTTGACTAGACGCAGCTACCTGACCAGACGCAGAGACCGGAGGAGGCGCATTAGTCAGTGTGTACAGACTCGACCCTGGCCGACGGGTGAATGTGGCCAGGTGGCGGCCCGTCCGAGAGCAAGTGCAGTGGGTCACACGCTGACTTCCAGGGGTGAACTGGTGAACCCACGCGTCCTGGAGGTCAGCTCCACTCACCAAGTTCGTAGAGAACGAGGGGAGGTGGAGTCCCGACAGCAAGCCCGACGGGGCCGCAGGACACGGTAGAACCGTGGAGGAGTGTGCAAGGACTGGCCCCCCTGAGGGGTCAGCAAGGGAGACCGCAACAGGCCGACTGAGCGGCGTGAGCGTGGTGCTGTCTCTAAAGAAAGAGCGCGAAGCACCAGAGTCAAGTGCGAAAGTGTGCAAGGACTCAGTAGGTGCAGTACCAGAGAGAGCAGATGCACCAGCACCTGGAGCAGCAGACGCACCAGTACCTCAGCAGCAGACGCACTAGCACCTAGAGCAGCAGCCGCAATGCCCGGGTCGGGCGGGACACTCAGGTAGCAGTCACCATAAGCACTATCAGCAATAGCATACATGGCAGCAAGGATAGCATCAAAATCAAGATCAAAGATAGGCACATTCTGCAGAAGCAGATCATGCCAGCGAGGGAACTCAACGGCGTCTGGAAACTGGGCACGCCAAGTGTCAGTCAAGCGACCGAAGCAGTGCTGCGAAGTGTGTGGGAGCCCACACACCTCCCCACTACGAGTGCCGGTGCGAAGAACGTAAGTGCAGGGACCTGGACTCCCAGACCTCCCACGCCCAGCGTACCACTCACGAAGCTGCTGGACCGACGGGGTCTCACGGGAGCGCAGCTGCTGCTGGCGCTGGCTGCCACCAAAGCCTCCACGCTGCGCGGCTGCACCTCGACCAGTACCACCGCCACCGCCACCTCCACCACCGCTGCCGCTGCCTCCACCACCTCCGCCACCGCCGCCACTACCTCCACCGCCGCCGTTGACGCCCCCACTCCCAGTACCACCTCCACCGCCACCTCCTCCGCCTCCTCCACCTCCGCCACTGCTTCCCCCACCGCCCCCTCCACCACCCTTGCTCCCCTTGCCCCTGCTGTTGCGGCGTCTCCCACTAGGGGCAGGCGCAGCTCCGACCTCCTCAGTGCCAACGAGGTCGACAGCAGCAGCAGAAGCCACAGAGGGGAAAAGGGGAACAGGGGAACACCCCTCAAAGAAGGGGGTGCGACGGTCGCCGCGAGAAGCACCTACAGCTAAGATACTCTTCTCAGCTGCAGCAAGGCGCTCCTCTAACAGGTCGACAGTGAGCTCGGTGGGGCAAAGGGAGAGAAAGTGGTCCCTGACTGAAGAAAGGGAGTCAGGGAGGCGGGTGACTAGGTAGTAAAGGGTGATGTACATGGGGGGGGGGTTCTTGGCACAGAACTCAGTGGGAAGGGCAGCGCGGTAGCGAGCGTCACTAGTGCGAAGGTGAGCAACTCGGTCAGCAACTATGGTAAAGGCGGCAAGGTCACGGAAAAGGTACGGCAGCATGAGGCGGCTGAGGGCAGCAGTGGCAGGGGAGCAGTAGCGTGCAACTACAGCGTCGTACAAAGACTGAGCAGTCTTGTACTGGCCAAAATGTGCGCGCTCAACAGGCGGCAGGTGACTACAAACAGCAAGACGAGCAACAGCGTCACGACTGGTCCACTGCGAGCGAACCGTACTGTCAGCAGTGGCAGCAGGAGCAGTGGAAACACCGGACGTGTGATCGAAAAGGGATACCCCATCCCTAGAATCACACTGAAGAAAGAGCTGGAGGTTGTCAACCCACACGTCAAAGTCAACTGCACGTCCCTCAGTGTCAAATGTGAGAACGGTAGGACTAGCCATAGCAACAGTAGGAGCAGTAGGAAGAGTAGCAGCAGTAGAAGTAGAGGCAGTAAGGCAGTGCAAGGCAGTGCGGCTCGGTAGGGCAGTGCGGCTCAGTAGGGCAGTGCGGCTCGGTGGGGCGGCGCGGCTCGGCTGAGCGGCGCAGCTCGGCTGGGCGGCGCGGCTCGGTCGGGCGGCGCGGCTCGGTCGGGCGGCGCGGCTCGGCTGGGCGGCGCGGCTCGATTGGGCGGCGCGGCTCGGCTTACCAGAGATGGGTGCAGGGGCGGGCCGTGAATGCAGGGGCCGCACCAGTAGGGGGGGCGCACCAGCAAGGGCCGCGTCAGCAGGGGCCGGCAGGGGCGCGTCAGCAGAGGTCGGCAGAGGCGCGCCAGCAGTGGCCGGCAGGGGCGCGCCAGCAGGGGCCGGCAGGGGCTCGCCAGCAGGGGCCGGAAGGGGCGCGCAAGTAGGGGCCGGCAGGGGCTCGCCAGCAGGGGCCGGTAGGGGTGCGCCAGTAGGGGCGCGTCAGCAGGGGCACGGAAGGGGCGCGCCAGTAGGGGCCGGCAGGGGCTACGGCAGCTGCTAGAGGGGCCGCGTATGGCCGCAAAGGGGCCGCGAAGGGCCGCAAGAGGGGCCGCGAAGGGCCGCAAAGGGTCGCGAAGGGCCGCGAAGGGGCCGCAAGGGGCCGCGAAGGGCTGCGACGGGCCGCGAAGGGGGCCGCGAAGGGCCGCGAAGGGCCGCGAAGGGCCGCAAAGGGGGGCCGCGAAGGGCCTCGACGGGCCACGACGGGCCGCAATGGGGGGCCGCGAAGGGCCTCGACGGGCCGCGAAGGGCCGCAAAGGGGGGCCGTGAGGGGCGCGACGAGGAGGGCCCTAAGGGCGGGCCGCTAAAGGCAGAGCGCGCTGCTGGCAGGCAAGGAAAAAAAAAATTCGTAGTGGTGGGCCCTTAAAAAAAAACGGTCCCACTAGGGAACCCGCTCTATACCATGTGAGAATAATGAGAGGAATGGATGAACTAGAAAGAAGGTGGGTACAAGTAGCAAACACAAAAGTGTTGTACCCTCTAAGGACTACCCTGCACCCGCCCCTGGAAAGCACCCGCGCCGCAGCCAAGCTGAGCCGCGCCGCCCAGCCGAGCCGCGCCGCCCACCGAGCCGCGCCGCTCTGCAGAGCCGCGCTGCCCTACCGAGACGCGCCGCCCTACCGAGCCGCGCCGCCCTACCGAGCCGCGCTGCCCTACCGAGCCGCGCCGCCCTACCGAGCCGTGCTGCCCTACTGAGCCGCACTGCCCTGCCTGCACTGCTCCTGCTGCCACTGCTGCTTCTACTACCACTGCTGCTACTGCTGCTACTGTTGCTATGGCTAGCCCTACTGTTCTCACATTTGATGCTGAGGGGCGTGCGGTTTACTTTGACGTGTGGGTTGACGACCTGCAGCTCTTTCTTCAGTGTGACTCTAGGGACGGGGTATCCCTTTTTTATCACACGTCCGGTGTCTCTACTGCTCCTGCTGCCACTACTGATAGTACGGTTCGCTCGCAGTGGACCACTCGTGACGCTGTTGCTCATCTTGCTGTTCGTAGTCACATGCCGCCTGCTGAGCGCGCGCATTTTGGCCAGTACAAGACTGCTCAGTCTTTGTACGACGCTGTAGTTGCGCGCTACTCCTCCCCTGCCACTGCTGCCCTCAGCCGCCTCATGCTGCCGTACCTTTTCCCTGACCTTGCTGCCTTTGCCACAGTTGCCGACCTCATTACTCACCTCCGCACTAGTGACACCCGCTATTGCGCTGCCCTTCCCACTGAGTTCTGTGCCAAGAACCCCCCCCCCCCCCCCATGTACATTACTCTTTACTACCTAGTAACCCGCCTCACTGACTCCCTTGCTTCAGTCAGGGACCACTTTCTCTCCCTTTGCCCCACCGAGCTCACTGTCGACCTGCTAGAGGAGCGCCTCGCTGCAGCTGAGAAGAGTATCTCAGCTGTAGGTGCTTCTCGCGGCGATCGTCGCACCCCTTTCTTTGAGGGGTGTTCCCCTGTCCCCCTTCTCCCCTCTGTTGCTTCTGCTGCTGCTGTCGACCTCGTTGGCACT